AGCACCGCCCCTCGGCACTGCGGGACCAACCCGGCAGCACCCCAGCTGCTCTATTGCAGGCATCCCCGATTCAGCTGCTGCTGAAACTGACCAGCAGCAGCTGAATCAGGGACGCCTGGGGCAGAGCCGGACTATCGTAAGGGGGGGCTATGAGGGGTCTGGGGTGGCATCCCCTCGCACCCCACTCCAGACTCCTCACAGCCCCCCCTTCTGATAGTCCGGCATATCTGATAATCCGGCACCCCCTGGGTCCTAAAGGTGCCGGAATATTGGAAGTTTCCTGTACCTAAATATCCATTGAGAGAGCTTTTTTTGCTCATGCCATAGACTTCTAGGAGTAAAGGTGAGCTTATACTCTAAAAAATAACTTTGTAAAAATGGCACTATGGTGTCCAGAGTTTGGCTTATGAGTTCTGTATGAAGTTGTGCAGTTTTACGTATTGAACTACATGGTGCAATACACCTGGAGTGTGAAAATCTGTGTATTCTTTCTAACTTCTCATGGCCTGTCTGGGTTCCTCCATTACAAATTTGTTCTCTAAGTTCTGCCATCTTGCTATCTATACAACTCTGTTTCTCCAACTTAATTCAGTCTCACGTTTGCTATCCCTACATTTCTTTCACAACCTTCAATTCACTTCTTAAACCTCTCCATTCTGCTTCCACTTTTTTATCTTCATAGGACCTTGCTGATTTCTTTCAAGAGAAAATTGACAAAATAAAGTATCCCTTTAAAACTTTCTCCGTAATCATAGAGGCAGAATGTTTTCATCTTCTCTTCTCCGTCAAACCCCTTCTTTGCATCAGTGACTCCATGTCCTTGGCACCCATTCTCATGCCATACCTTGTTATTTTCCTTAATTTTTCATTTTCCTCTGACTCTCTCCTCAAAATACAATCATGTTTTAGTTTCTCCCATCTTAAAAATACTCACTCATGACTCCACTCCCTCTCCATCTCCTCCTGTTCAGCTCTAAGATAATCGAATGTGCTGTTTACAATCAGTACCTAGAATTCCACTCCTCCTATTCCATTCTAGACCCTTTCCCATTTCTCTTTAAACACAATTGCCAAAGTGTTTAATCATCTCTTTGTGGCCAAAATGTAGAACCAGCACTCCATGCTTGTCCTCCTTTCGTTGTCAGTCACCTCTGACATGGACAACCATGCTGCTCTTGAAATCTTACCCTTCTTGACTTCTGTAATCCTCTTCTCCTGTGGTGGTTCTATGACTTTTCTAACTGCTACTTAAACATGGTGTTCAGAGAATCTATCTTCCCCTTTCTGTAGGAATTCCTTCATTTTTTTTTCTTGTGCATCTTATCTCTGGGAAATCTCATACACATTCAGTTACCATTTCTTTGTAACAGTTCAGATACATATCTCACCTTGAAATTTAAATATGAGCCTGTTTCTGGCAATCTCTTCCCACGGATGTTTAGCAGTCAGCTCAAGCTCAGCCATGCTCCCCCAAGTCTTTCCTGCTACTTTCTTTCTCAGTCACTGTGGGCATCCTGCTGTCGCTCAGGACCATAAATTGGATGTCATTCTAGTCTTTGTCCTCTCTCTCAGTTTTGACTTAAAGGCTGAGTGTAATTACTGATGATTCTTTCTGCATTACTTCACAACCTTTCCTATTCATCCACATAGGTAAACTCTTGTTCAGGTTATTACTTCATGTCTAAATTACTGAAGCATTTTTTCTTCTGGCTTTAGCAATTGTGACCTTGCCCTGTTCATATCCATTCAGAATGCCAATGCATAGCTCATTTTCCTAACCTTTTGCTTTGACCATATTCCCCACTCTCCATTCTCCACTGGCTTTCATTTTCAATGCTTTTCATGACCTATCATCTATCATTCAATGCTGGAATTTTGACTTGCACCAAAATCCAAAAGAGTGATTCAAAGTCATTAAAAACTGATAGCTAGGGAGTAGTAGTTGACCATCAGTTTGATTGTACTTGGTATGTTTGGACTTATCACAACCAGGTGGATAGTGTACTTAACACAAAAGAATAGTTGGCAGAGAAGAGCTTGTGGCCAAATATGAGAATTGGTCAAAGTATTGGAAAGAGATATACCCAAACTCTGACAAACATGCAAGTTTGGATGTAGTGTAAAATTTAGACTAAATTAAGTCAAGGAGGGACCGCATAAGATGACGATCTCTTATTAAAACAAGAGAGATCTTTTTTATTGTAAGAAAATGTAGACAGTAATTCCTATACTGGGTAGTAAAGTATTAACTGGAAAGTTTTTGAAAAAACAATTCGTATTTGAAAAACTGTTTAGTTGTGGGTAAAATGAGAACCTGAAAATAGCTGTAAACTTCATGAGATTTGCGACTGTGTTGCATAGAGGAGGAAGATGGACTTATCAAAGTTGAGTATTTAAACTGTGAGATTTCAATAATTCTTTCAGTGCAATTTAATTACTTTCCAATATCTTAACAGTTATGAATGCGGGGATGAGGAAGTATTTTCTACAAGCCAATGATCAACAAGACCTAGTAGAATGGGTAAATGTTCTGAACAAAGCTATCAAAATCACAGTAAGTATTCTGTTAATTTTTCTTTAATACTCTCAATTGAACTTCAGAGACCGTATCAGATGCAAATAGTCCAATTGAGAGTATTAAACTTCAGAGACCGTATCAGATGCAAATAGTCACTTCCAAATTTTACGTCTGCCCTCAAGGCTTATTGATGTGGCTTTTAAAATTTTTTCCTGACTTTAAAAATTGTTCTCCATCACCAACTCTTCCCTCTAATTTTTTATGTCCATGTGTGGAATCACTTTCATTATATGCACCAATATTGAGGTAATATATTACAAAACAAAAGTTATTGCACACACTGACTGTGTGGCAGGGTGGCACTGAAGGGTTGGGTTATGGGAGGGAACTCAGCTGTGACAGAAGGTTGGGGTTCAGGGTGAGGGCTCTGGTTGGGGGTGCTGGCTCTCAGATGGCTCGGGGGGCGAGGGGTTTAGAGTCCATGCTAGGGATGTGCAGCCATTTACTCGATTAACCAATGAGCCTGCGCTCATCAGTTAATCAAATAGTTACATCAGAGGCGGCAGGGCAGGCAGGAGCCAGTAAGCATGGGGAGCCAGCTTTTTAACCTGCCTCCCATGCACACCAGCTCCTGCGGAGCTGCCTTCCTGCCTCCTCCGCGCTGCTACCTCTCTCAAAGGCATCAGTAGGAAGAAGGGCAGGCAGGGGTTGAAGCTCATGGAGCTTTAAGCCGGCTCCCCATGAGCACCAGCTTCTGCCTGCTCCCCTCCATGTAAATGTGCAACCACTAAAATTTACAGTGGTTACACATTTCCAAAATTAAATGCATTTTTAACATCCTAGTCCCAGTTCTCTCATACCACAGCAGCTTGGGGCCAGGTGGACAGTGCCTTTTCATGGCCGTTGCACTTTCAAGGAGGAGGGATGCCTGTTCCTCAGCTGGGGACAGATCCAGGCTAGGCTGGATAGGGGCCATGGAAGGAGCATCTGTCCCTCAGCAGTGACAGCTCTGGATGCTGTGTCTGGAGGAGAGGCACACTCCTCTGGCCCCAGCATGGAGCAGCCAGAGGAGATCCCTTCCTCAGCACCAGCACAGTGAGGGCCAAGGGAGTGGCTCCCCTCCCCACTGGCCCCATGGAAGAAATTGACTCTAGAAGGGAAAGGGAATCTAATTGGAGATATATTTTTACTTTGAAAATTGGACACACATCTAATTTTTCAGTAGTAAAAATAGTTTAAAAAATGTTCAGGTGTACTTTTTAGTGGGTATATATTTTGAAAGTATTTCATCTCCCTCCTCCCTTCTTTTGTGAAAGAAGTTGAGATGAACACACTGTAATTTAATCAGGGCAGTTGTTTTCTGTTCCCTGCTGAGTTTGTTAATTTAGTATAGTCAAAGAGAATAAACTTTGTTTTATAGGGGTTTTGATATTCAACTGCTTGTATTCCATGGCATTCCATAGATACTGACAGTGAAGGGTTAATTTTAACAAATAAGTTTCTCTCGTAGAGGTTGTTACATTTTTGTCTTGCACCAGAGCAGCTTGTTACCACGTGACTGAAAACGCCCACAGGTTGCATCTAATCTTTTTATGAAGCAGAAGTTACTTTAGCCTATTTTTCTTTGTGCAGTTTCAGAGAAGAAACTACTTACGTGTGCTTACAAATCAACACCTAGGATTCAGAATGAGCACAGTACAAATATTTGTACTCCAGCTCCAAGTTTTCAGAATTTGCTCCTCTCTAGTAGGGGTACGTCTACACTACAACGTTAATTCGAACTAACTTAGTTCGAATTAGTTAATTCGAACTAAGCTAATTCGAACTAACGGATCCAGACTAAAAAACTAGTTCGAATTAGCGTTTTGCTAATTCGAACTAGCATGTCCACATTAAGTGGACCCTGAACCAGGCTTAAGGATGGCCGGAAGCAGTGCCTGCAGGGCATCAGAGGAGGACTTAGAGCGTGGAGATGCTGTTTCAGGCTAGCCAAGGGCTGTGCTTAAAGGGTCCCGAACCCCACCCCGGACAGACAGTTCTCAGGGGTGCCCCGCTTGCAAAGCAGTCCTGGCTTGGATTGCCCGAAGTACCCACACTGGGCACATCACAGCACTCGGCCATCAGCCCGGCTGCACTTGCCGCAGGCTGCCATCTGGGGAGAGGGGACAATTGGGGGGCTGCAGGAGAGCTTCCACCCCCAGAAGCCCGCAGAGCCAGCCCAGTCCTCCCCATCGGGGGGCGCGTACCCCATTCCTCCCTCACCTCCTTCCACTTACCCTTCCCTAGCCCCTTTTCTTGATGTACAAAATAAAGG